GTGAATAAATGTAAAGATTGGAATAATTAAAAAAGCCTGGTCATAACATTGCTGTAGTAATTATGTATGTGAACTAGCTTAGTATATTGTTATGTATATTTCTAATTCCCCCTTCCGTTTAATTTTCTGCCAGATGAGTCGCTGTCCTCGCAGGAAAAGCCATCAGGGATGAAAGACGTGATCGTGTCCATAGACACCAGCAAAGACTCTGATGCAGATTCCTCTAAGCCATCCTCTAAGGCCACCAGCCTCCAGAACAGCCCAGCAGTCCAGAAAGGTTAGCTATCATCAGTATGACTACATAAAATCTTTCTCTGTAATCCAGGTGCGGTAGTGTTTACGTCTGCGTTTGTATTTTTGGTTTTGCATTGCAAGCCTTGTGTTTTTCTACATTCCTCATGTCACTATTTAAGTTTTCTTCTTTCAGTGGCCTTCCTTATTCTGCATACGCAAACACAAGCATACATATGCACTGCCCTGAGGCCCACAGCTCCAGCTCCCCCACTGTGCGTATGTTTTGGGCTGTGTGCGTGTGTCCCCTGTTAGCGTATGAGAGAGAGACTAATTCAGCTCAAACAGGCGTACAATTGTTTCCAGATTGGAGGAGTAATGAACGTTCCCAGTTGCAGCCTGAGCACTGGGCTACTTTTAACCTGGCTTCATGAAGGCTGTTCGGTTTGTTTGTTTTCTTTAAAGAAGTGTAGAGAGATGACAAAAATCTGTCTGCTCTTTTGCTCTTTCCCCACAGCCCCCAGCTGGTCGTGGCAGATGGCTGCTTTCCCCCAACTCTAGCTCTGCTCTTGGCCTTTTCCTTTTTGTTTTGTTTTGTTTTTGTTGCCCCACCTCAACAACCAAGTGCTCTCTCATAGGGGGTTGTTGAATTGTTTAGATTGTTTCTAATATTGGAGAGTCTGTAGCTATATAGTATAGCACCTTGAACTGGTATTGGGTTCTCATTGCCACAAATATATTAAGTATTAGATACTTAGATGGCATATATTATAGTATTAGATGATGGTAGTTGTAGTAGTATAGAGCAAAAACATAAAGTTGAACTAATTAGTAATAGTTCATGATTAAGCTTTTACTACCTTATGGTATGTTCATTAAAGATTCAGGGCAATATTAAAATTTTTGTAGGAATTCGGAGACAAAATACAGCAAATGTTGTATTTTTTGTTCGGTAGATTTTTGTCTAACAATACTTTTATCAGCTCTTTATTTTGCTAAAGTATCCGAGTGATAAACAGTGTTTTGGGAACTGGATTAGAAATTGTTGAGGTATACAAAATAACAACACACTGGTCTGGTAAAGGTTGATTTGCTGCCAAAGCATGAACCCGTGCTGCCATTTGTACAGTTTTTGGCGAATTCTCTCCTCTCATCAGATTCCATTTCCATCCTAAGGTAATCCACTCCTGGCAGGAAGTTTCCATTCGATGCAGTTTCAGTGGAGAGTTTGGAGAATAGGGACTGTTTCATGATGTATGTTCATGAAGGTTCCTTACCGAGGCCACTCGAAGCCACTTTGATGTAACCAGACAGTCTCGGCTCACTGCTGATGGTTTTGTTCGTGTTGGACATTAGGAATTTCTAGAACTCAGGGGAAAAGGTTGAGCTGTGTGTTTATTAGTGTCACTAGAGTAGTTCAGTGTCTGTTTGTCTCCCACTGTGGGAGGTTACAGTTAACTGCCTCTCAAACAGCTTAAGATTCTTCCTCTGGTATCCCCTGACGTACTTAACTCCATCTTGTTACATCGCATGTCAAGGTAACATTTTGCCTTAACTATAATTTTTGTTTTCTCTCCTTTTGTCTCAATTCCCAGATGATGAAGACGATGGCAAAGCTACAACTCAGCCCCTGTTGAAAAAAGGCAGGAGATCCACTTCATTTAGTTGCCTTAAACCTTTCCCCTTCTTTCCATTTTGATCTTAGTATCTTTTCTGAGCTCCTGCTGCTATGCTCCCCTCATTTCTGCCACCATTTTTTTCGCACTATATTTTGAATCCCTCTTGTACTAACATACTGTCGCCACCCTGCTGTCTCCCTTTCCCTCTGTTCCTTCTTTCTGGCCTGCTAGGTCCTTGGCTGTGGGATATAACATGTCTCTTTCTCATGTCCCTAGCGTGAGCCATCTCTAAAGCTGTACTGTATATGATGTTGCCTTTAACTTAGTCTGTTTTTCTGTAGGTAGGCGTGTGTGTGTGCGGCTGTGTTCCAACATTTCTGTTTTCTCCAAGCTGTCTTCAGTCTCTCACCTGCTTTTCTTGCCACATTCTGGAGCTGACTAATTTGCCTTAAGCTTTCTTCTTAGGATGGAAACTGCTCTCCTGTTTTCACATTTCCATTTGTTTGGTTTTTAGTAGTAATGTTTTTTTATTCTGTACCTATACCACTTAAAACTTTTAAATAATAAAATTAAACAAATTTATTTTCTAATAAATGTAAAACTATACTTACAAGCAATAAACAGAATTCTACTGTATACTTCATTTTCAGCTATGGGCATGTATATTCTTTATATACATGTCCATAACTGACATGTATGCGACCTATTGAGCTACACTTCTACCAAGCACAAAATTATTCGTTTTATTATGCCTTATTAATGAGATTTGCTTTTATTTTGTTTTTTGTTGTGGTGTGCATCCCCGCAGACAAGAAGAGCCCGACACTACCTCTGAATGTGTCCGACCAGAGGCTGCTAGAGGCCAGCCAACAGTTCCAGAAGAAACAGGGGAAGGGCACAGTGGATGTCTGGTGGCTGTTTGATGATGGAGGTGATTGTTAGTTATATTATTGTGC